GTGGTCCCCCCGCAGGTATCCCTGCCCCCGCTTTAAGGTTAAGAAAACGAGTTTCAGGAAATTCATTCTGAGGGAACAAACCAGTGTCTGCTTCAAATCTTCACCTCGTTGTCCTTTTAATGCATCCTGGGCCTCCTCTCATTTGATCCTCACAAAAGTCCTGGAGTCGGTAGATAGGAGACTTGGTAGAATCCTATTTTCTTTTCACTAGTGAGATGCGAATAGCGATATTAAAATATTTCTTCTGCCGAAATCGGTTTGGCTCAGTGGTAGAGCGTCGGTCTGCGGACTGAAAGGTCCCAGGTTCGATTCCGGTCATGGGCATGTACATTGGTTGCAGGCACATCCCTGGTAGGGGGTGTGCAAGAGGCAGCTGGTCGATGTTTCTCTCTCATCGACATTTCTAGCTCTCTATCTCTCTCCCTTCCTCTCTGTAAAAAATCAATAAAATATATTTAAAAAAATATTTCTTCTAATTCATTTTCTTCCAACGTGCACGAATCCACACACCAGGCATCTAGTCTTAGATAAGTGAGTAGACAAGTCCTGTGTTCTTCCCCTGAAAAGCACTTTGTCTGTCACCTTCTAACCTCTTACAGTCCACGTAGATATTATTTTAATAACCTATTTTTTGCCTCATTGCCCTGGCTACTCTTTCCACACTGGCCAAATTATGTTAATTTTAAAGATTAAAGTTTTTTGGCCTGGCCAGCATGGCTCAGTGGTTGACTGTCGAACTATGAACCAGGAGGTCACAGTTCAATTCCCTGTCAGAGCACATGCCCTGGTTGTGGGCTCAATCCCCAGTATGGGGCGTGCAGGAGGCAGCCAATCAATGATTTCCTCTCATCATTGATGTCTCTATCTCTCCCTGTCCCTTTCTCTCTGAAATCAATAAAAATCTATTTTTTTTAAAAGATTAAAGTTTTTTGGAGAGGACTTATTTCCAGCCCTCTTCAAAACACAATCATGAGTTACATAAATTCTCCCACCTAATTCACTTGCCTTACCTTATCTTATATTTGTATTGGATCCATTGACCAAATAAATGTTACGATCCATGAAAGAAAAACTTGAAAATTGGGACCTAATTAAAATTCAGAACTTATGCCCTAAAAAAGACAATGTTGAGAGAATGAAAAGACAATGCAGACTGAAAGAAATGTTTGTAAAATGCATATCTGGTAAAGGACTTGCATCCAAATATGTAAAGAACATTAATAACACAGCAATAAGAAAACAGACAACTCACCTGGAGAATGAGCCAAAGATGTGGATGGACACCTCACCAAAGAAGATGAAAAGAAAGCAAATAAAATAGGAAAGGAGCTCCACCTCCTATGTGATTATGGAATTCCAAATTAAACAACTGAGGGGACACCAATCACCTATCGGTCCAGACACTGACCACCCAGTGCAGAGACACACAGAGCAAAGGGAAGCTCACTGCTCCTGGGAACACCCACGGCACAGCCCCTGGGGAGACAGTGTGGTGGTTTCTTACAGATCTATCCATATTCTTCTTTTAGTATTATTATTGATTTCAGAGGAAGGGAGAGGGAGAGAGAGAATTGCCAATGAAGAGAGAGAATCATTGATTGGCCTCCTGCACACCCCCTACTGGGGATCGAGCCCACAACCCGGGCATGTGCCCTGACCGGGAATTGAAACTGGGATCCTTTTGTCCACAGGCTGACCCTCTATCTACTGAGCCAAACCAGGCAGGGCACTAAACACATTCTTAACATAGTAAGCTGCAGTGGAGATCCTTGTAATTAGACAAATTAGTTGAAAACATGCGTCCACACAAGATCCTGTGTATGCAGCTTCATTCATAACTAGTGGCCTGGTGCACAAAATTCATGCACCTGATGGGGGTGTCCCCCAGTCTGGCCTGCACCCTCTCCAACCAGGGACCCCTCCCCTCAGGAGATGTCTGGCTGCTGGTTTAGGGGGCAACCCTCTCACAATCTGGGACTGCTGCCTCCAAACCTCTCGCCTGCCTGCCTGCTTGATTGCCCCTAACCACTTTGCCTGCTGGCCTGCTCACCCCCAACTTTTCCCTCTCTTTGGCCTGCTCGCCCCCAACTGCCCCCCCACCAGCCTGCTTACTCTCAACTGCCCCCCACCAGCCTGATAACCCTCAACTGCCCCCCCACCAGCCTGATCACCCTCAACTGCTCTCCCCTCTTGGCCTGATCACCTCTAATTGCCTCTGCCTCAGCCCCTCCCCCTTGTCTTTGTCTGGAAGGATGTGCAGGAAGGTCTCCCACTCTAATTAGCATATTACCCTTTTATTAGTATAGATAAAGGCCTGGTGCATGGGTGGGGGCCGGCTGGTCTGCCCTGAAGGAAGTCCCAGATCAAGGTGGGGGTTACCTTGAGGGGTGGGGCCAACCTGAGCCAGGGGCCTGGAGTAGTTTGCAGGCCGGCCACACCCACATTGGGGTAAGGATCCCTGCTGGGGGCTTTGGTTGGCCTGGGTGAGGGCCTGAGGGCCTTTTGGAGGCAGTTTGCACATTCATGTGCAGGGGGCACGTGAGGCAGGTGACAGTGTGAGGCAGGTGACAGTGTGAGGCAGGTGATAGCCTGAGGCAGGTGACAGCCTGGACCAGGTGACAGTCTGAGCCAGGTGACAGCCTGAGCCAGGTGACAGCCTGAACCAGGTGACAGTCTGAGCCAGATGACAGTCTGAGCCAGGTGACAGCCTGAGGCAGGTGACATCCAAGACCAGGTGACAGCCTGAGGCAGGTGACATCCAGGACCAGGTGACAGCCTGAGGCAGGTGACAGTCTGGACCAGGTGACAGCTTGAGACAGGTGACAGCCTGAACCAGGTGATAGCCTGGATCGGGTGACAGTCTGAATCAGGTGACACTTGAAGCAGGTGACAGGGTGAAGCAGGTGACAGCATGAGGCAGGTGACAGCCTGGACCAGGTGATCAGCGCCATCCCATGGCATAGGTCAGGGAAGGCTTAGAGGTGCCCCACAGGCAGTGTCCTTCACCCATGATCCCACTGTGACCCGCAGGCTGTTTGGGGTGTTGGTGCAACCTCAGGGCCTAGGGTGGAGCCGAGGGAGCTGGAAAGAGGGTGGACTCAGTGGGCGGATGGGACGGGAGTGCGGAGCCTGCAAAGGTGGGAGGTGATGGAGTCCGTTGCTCCCCCTTTACCTGATGCCCATGAAAGCACCAGCGTATGGGTCACCCCCAGTGTCACCAACGTCCCTTATCACCTCTATGGACCACAGCACCCTCTAGGGTTCCTGGGGCCCTGCCCACGAGGGGTCGCCCTGCCCACGAGGGGTCGCCCAGGGCCTGGCTGACTCCTGCCTCCCAGGCAGCCAGACAGGCTCACAGCCTCCTTGCCCAGCCCCATCCACATCTGCAAAACCCACTTCCAGCTCCAGGCTCAGGGGCCCTGAGGGCTGAGACAGGAGAGCAGAGGAAGGAGCTGGGAGGGCAGGGGGGAGGAGGCAGGAGGCTGTCCCCAGACCACGTCTACCTCCGCCCTCTTCAATCACTGACCTTGTTCTTCTTGAGAAGTACATATTTCCTGAGCTAACGCATCTATTGTTTCCTGTTTCTATTTAATCAACGATATTTAAACAGAATGACTGTGATCTTGGACAATCGCTTACTATAGCTCATGACCAATTGTTTGGGCACATTTTCTTTCTTTTTTTTCTTTAATTAAACTAATTTGCAGGAGATCCATCTTTTTATTTATTTATTTATTTTTTATTGAGGAGATCCATCTTGATTCTGGGAAAATGTTAGGTTCAGAAGTTTTTAAAAATATTTTTATATTGTTATTGATTTCAGGGAGGAAGGGAGAGGGAGAGGGAGAGAGAAACAGCAATGATGAGAGGAATCACTGATCGGCTGCCTCCTGCACGCCCCTACTGGGGCTCAAGCCCACAACACGGGCACATGCCCTGATCAGAATCAAACTGTGACCTCCTGGTTGATGGGTGGACGCTCAGTGAGTCATGCCGCCGGGCTGGGATCACAAATTTTGAAGCAAATCCTCAGCCACCACCTTGATGCTCCACAGAAAATGCAGATGCCTCAGGCACTCACTCCCCCCACCCTCCCCTCCCCCCTCCCCCCTCCCCCCACCCCTTTGGGTCCAGGAGAGCAGCTACCAGGGATCCATCTGTAGCCCGAGGTTGAGATGGCTGTCCATTTCCATCAGAACCAAAGCCGTCCTCCTTAAAGACCTAGAGCCACACAGCAGCAGCATCTGAATCCATGCCGCACACTCACCAGCCCGTGGAGGCAGTCCTGGGCCTCGCTGCCCTGCAGCCCACGGGGCTGGCGGCCATGACAGCCCTGGGTCTGACTGTGTGTATCCCTGCGCTCTTATCCATCTGCCGCCAAGAAGTTCACATGGACTAACTACAAACCGAGAAGTTAGGGGAGTTTTCGCCATATTTACTAGATTTTTGTTTCTGAAATTGGCCACCTGTTTCCTACTAATCCCTTCTGGACCTCTCTCAGGATTGGCTGTCACCATCCTGTGTGATTGATGTTGCTCTTTAGTCTGTAAAGTAAAAATCGAAAGCTTTAAACTCAATAATCAGGCCTTTAAAATGATGGGGACATCATTACACGCTTACATAAAACGCCAAAGTACACGCTTACATAAAACACCAAATTGCAACTCAAACAAAAGTCCTCTTCCGACTCCATCAAGGAATTCTGTAAATTTCCCCCCGAAAATCAATATAATAACCCAGAATTGGGAACTATCACTCCGAAGTGAACACAGACGCCAGCACTGCGCGTGTGAGAATTGCCTGGTCTGCTCCTGAGTTTGGGGACCAGCCGTAAGCACAGTGGCAGCGGAGTCCTGTGCTGAAACAGGGCCCCGTGAAGGTGCCCTCAGGAAACCCCTACGTGTGTGTTTTGTTTCCTTGTGCCGACGTGTTTGAAAAAGAGGCAGCCGGAGCTTCACACTCACTTTTCTAAAACCGTGTTAATTTCTTGTTTATTTCAGGCCTTACTAGAGACTCAAACTTTACTGCGCACTCAGGTTGCCAATTTTACCTTCAACCTTGGATTTTCAGGGAAGTTTTACCACACAGGTAAGAGGGGCCGAGACTGCTCACACGTGGGAGTGAGTGTCAGTCAGACCAGGCGGACGGACTAGGAGACCCATTCAGGGGAGTCGGGCGCAGAGCGGGCAGTGTCAGGCGGCCCTGTGCTGCCTCCCTGCGGCCTCTGGGCCGGGGCCAGAGCCAGGGCCAGGGGCCTCTGTCAGCGGGAGAGGTGCCCTGTCCACTGGTGGGCAGCGGAGGCCGGAGGTATGGGAGGTGGAGGGCGGGGGGGCAGTAAGGGTAATCACAGCGGACACTGTCTTTAAACGGTCAGGCAGTCCAACTCACAGACGGTCTGTAACTATCCTTTCCTTGGGAAGCCTCTAGTGAGGGAGTGATTGCTATCTGGTGGATCTGAACGGGCACCCTCCTCGGTCCCTCCCCCTCCTCCCGGTTGTAAAAAGAGCTAAAGCGTTAAACTCGGTGATTGTGCCTCTGAAGGATGGGGGAGTGGGGGTAACACAGTCCAATAAAACACGCAATTGCAGCTCAAACACAAGTTATCTTCCTGTTTCTTCGCAGCAACACAGGACATGTCTCTGTCTAGTGACTGAGAAAATGTCCCAGGCCATCTCGTCACTCATTCGGCCCCACGTGCATGCAGGCCCGATGCCAGGCCAGCCGCTCCCCCGCCCTCCGGCCCCCGTGGTCCTGGCGCTGCCTCTCAGCCCGGCCCTCAGGAGGGGACAGCTCCTCACTTCACCTTCAGGAGTCGATGCTTATAGTCTGAGCCTCAGCGTTAACATGTGTAGCGTCGCATGGAGAAAGCGGGGTGCATGAAAGCGACTGTCTCATGTAGGAACAGAGGTGTGTCCGAGCCTGTCTCGGGGAACCCCTGCTGTCCTGGGTGAGGGGACCCCATCTTCCTGGACTCCGCACAGCGTGTCTCTGGGGATTACCCATGACGCCTGCCGCTTGCTGACACATAAAATATCCCAGGCAAAGGCACCGCTAAGTGTCATAACTGCAGCGCCTGTACCCCAAGCGGCTTTACATGTGTCTCTGGAGAGCCCCGGGACTTATTGGGGTACGGAGGTGGTGACGTCTTACTGGTTTTTCTTTAATGCTCTTTCCCTCCTGCTTTGAAACGTGTAAACCTGTGTCCAGGAACGGGAGGAGATGGTATGTGGACAGCTGATACAGCCGGAGATCTTACATGTTCAAGGCACTTTGCAGGGAGACAGCGGGCACTCTATGTCTGCGTGGGCAGCGGACGGCTCCCCACTGGGACAGCAGACCCGGCTCCCTGACCTCTCCGGAGCCCGCAGGAGCCGTTCCGCCCACGGCCGCGGCTGCGCAGGGGAGAGCACACGGGTCTGCGGCTGCCTCACGCACAGGCAGGGACACGGGAGCATTGGCAGCGTGCACAGCCGTGCTGTTCTGCCCTCAGGAGCCAGAGAGTGCAGGTGAAGCCTCTTTGGGCTGAAATATTTCTGGGTCCGAGTCCCTGCTGTTATTTACCTTTCCGGTTCAGGCCGGTTAAGCCCCCCCGATGGCCCAGGAGTTCCGCCGATCGAGGCCCTGGCTCCTGGTCTGTCCATATGACCCGGACGTGTGGGAGCAGCGCACGCCCCTGGGGAGCCGGGCACACGGTTCCTGTCACACGGGTCAGCTCCTCAAGAGGAGGCAGGTGCGTTTTGAAGGTGTCCCTGAGCAGAGCCATCACGCTGCACGCTGAGATCACCTACAGCATGGGGAACCCTGCTGTGGCAGGAGTGACAGACACACACGCGTGTGTCTGGACGGTTAATCTCCTCCGTCACCAGGAAACGTTCGTTGATCTGCTGCTGCAAAGTGCATCCTAACGGACCTCCAGCTGCCATTAGCCACACGGACTTCACACTCATTCCCGGGGGGGGGGGGGGGGCGGTCACAGCGCAGGGCACCCCCTCCCCCTCCCTGAGCAGAGCTGAGGCCCGCAGTGCTGTGTGGCTGCGCCGCGCTGTGTGCCCAGGGGGCCTTGGCTCAGGCTGTCCCTGTGCTCCGGGCCCATGTGCCCTCCCGGGCCCCGTGCTGAGCGAGGAGCCGCTGCCTGGAAGACTTTTAACTAACGGCATCTCCGGTGGAAGGAGGAGTCCTTTCTTAGGCTGCTTCTCTCACCTATGTCCCCGCACCCTTTCCTGCTCGGTCCCCCGTCCTCCACGTGTGAGAACTCTCCGTGACACGGCGCTGGGCCCTCCCTCAGCGCCGGCCACTCACGGAGGGAGCCCCGTGGGCCAGGGAGGACACGGCGCTGGTTACAAGGGGGAGGAAAAGCAAGGGGTTCCCAGGGAAATGCTGGGTGTGGTGGTGTTAACGCTGGATTGGAGCGGCTCGGTGGGCTGGGGGGGGCGAGGGGGGGGAAGGAGGCTGCAGGTTTTCGGTTGACACCGCTGCCGGGTGATTGTTGCTGCTTTTCCTGCCTAATCCATCAGCTGGGACTCGTTAATGACTGCATGGGAATGTGCAAATCGCATTACATTGGTCTTTTTCTGTTAGCGTTCATTTGACAAATAAAAAAAATAAAATAATAAAATAAATAAAATAAATAAAATAAAATAAAATAAAATAAAATAAAATAAAATAAAATAAAATAAAATAAAAATACCCCTTACCGGTTATATGAAACTATTAACTTTCAAACGTGAAAGTAAAAATCAGAGTTATTTCCTCCTGTGTCTGTTTCTCTGTGTGAAGTTCCGGCTCCAGGGCCGGACATGGGAGCGGACAGCTTTTCTCCCATTAGGCTCTGTGAATGTGCAGGTCACTCAGCCTCTGTGCTCCGTGTCCAGAATGGGAGACACTGCCCTCGCCTGAACCTGAGCGTGGCAGGTGGGGAGAGCCAGGAGATTTATCAGCATTGCTTCTGAAAGCATTTCTGTATGTCCATCAAACATCAGCCAAAGGAAACTGAATCATTGATGTCTCTAAGCTTTTAACTAATCTTATCACGAACTTGTTTTTGTTATTTGGTATAATATATTTTAATTTATTTTTAATCCCTACCTGAGGATATTTTTCCATTGATTTTTAGATAAGAGTGAAAGAGAGAGGGAAAGACAGAAATATCGGTGTGAAGAAACTCACCAATTGGTTGCCTCCTGCATGCGCCCCACCCAGGGCCAGGGCCAGGGCCAGAAATGAGCTGCAGTCGAGGTACATGCCCTTGACTGGAATCGAACCCAGGACCCTTCAGTCTGCAGGCCAACACTTTATCCACTGAGCCAAATCGTCCAGGGCTATTTAGTATGATATTAAAGTTAGTGTTTTCTACACCCAAGTGTATGAAACCTTGCCAGTTTCAATGTAAAAAGAGTTAGAAACATCTTGTTACTATTTGGGAATTACAATATTCATGCATAATGAGCAAATATGGGATGGACATTTGTACCAAAGCAACAGTGCGGACACTGCATTTTACATCTTTTAACGTTGCAATGGTGCCTTATTTTTTCTAAAATGACTCATATTTTGGAGACTTGAAGAATTGTAGAAGCTTACTGTTAGAACACAGATCCTCCAAAAGTGGTAAAGAGAAGTGAATCAGAGTTATTTAGTTTACTTCTGAGTGGAAACACCTTTTATTTCCCGGGAGTCTAAGAAAGCGCCAGGAACTGACTCTGTCCTGAGAACAAAGTGACCTGTTCTCACCAAGGACGCCATAGGCTTGGATTGGAGCCGGGTGAGAAGGGCAAGGCTCGGTGGGACCGACACACTGGTCTGACACGGGGTAAATACGAGCTGTGTGGACTCGTGTCCTCGTCTGCGTACCAGGCACAAACGGTGCGCACAGCCGCCTGCTGGCCGAGGAGGCAAACCCAGTGGTTCCACTCAGTTGAGATTCTGCTCCGCAAGACACGTCCCTGAGCCACGGCCTGAGATCTCTGAGATCTCTGAGCAGGAGCCCGCCGCACCGCCTCTGAACTGTGGCCTTGGCTGAGGTGAGAGAGAGATGGTGGGAAGTTGCTCCACCAGGTGAAACAGAGGCCCCGCCCACACCTCTAACCTCCTGGGCAGAGTTTATAAACTAACACAATATCCACATAAAATTTATAGGATTTTATATGGTTAAGTGTCTGCGTAGACCAACAGACAGAAACTGTGGACAATGGACTGTCCAGGACAGTGACAGACAGAACTGTGGGTGATGGACAGTCCCAGGACAGTGACAGACAGGAGAACTGTGGACCAGGGGCCACCAAACTTACCCCACCTCATGCCAACCCAAACCTTGAGGCCTGTGGTGTAACGTAGAATATGAATTTTATTCTTTTTCATTAGAACAACAGGAGCTTGGGTTTATGTGTTTGTCACGAGAAGAATAACTTAAACCTTACAAAGATGCCCTCCCAACCGATGGAATGTCACCGACGCCTTCTGCCTGTGTTTCCCAGGGACCCGCGAGGAGGACGAGGGCGATGACCTGCTGCTGCGGTCGGTGGGCGAGTTCTGGTGGTTCCCGCACATGTGGAGCCACATGCAGCCGCACCTCTTCCACAACGAGTCCTCGCTGGCAGAGCAGATGGCCCTCAACAAGGAGTTCGCCCTGGTGAGTGCCCTGCAGGCCGGGCGCCGTCTCTGGGGACCCAGCATCAGTGCGTTGGGTTGAATCCGGCAGAAGCAGAGCTGGAACATCAGAGTGCGTCTCATGTGCTAAGGGTACACATTGCTTTGTGTTCCTTTGTTTCAGGCCTGTGGGGTGTGTGTGTGTGTGTGTGTGTGTGTGTGTGTGTGTGTGTGTGCTGGGCCATGATGTGATACCAAATGTATCTGGAAAGCGGGCCGCTGTCAGAACGCTCCCCTCTCCTTTCACGGAAGGGTTCGTCTTGCACCTGAGAAGAACAATGGCACTTTCTCCAGTGCCTTCCTGGCTGTGTCATAATGAGCCTCTAAAAGCAGTGTTTTAGCCCTGACTGTGCGGCTCAGTGGGTTGAGCTTCCTCCCATGCACCTAAAGGCCCCTGGTTCAGTTCCCAGTCAGGGCACAGGCCCATATTGCAGCTTGATCCCCAGTGAGGGGCATGCAGGAGGCAGCCAGTCAATGTTTCCCTCGCATATTGATGCTTCTCTCTCTAAAAACCCGTTTCAGAACATGTGTAGGAGCATTGCTGCAGGATGACGGCTGTGGTGGCTCAGACCACAGCGCCCGGGGCTTACAGCTACCCTTCCCCGGGCAGCCTTTCCACACGCCTGCAGCTCTGCTCAGCCATGGCAGGCAGCACGCGGGGATGCGTGTGCAGCACATTGCGAGATGGTGTGTGTCCCCTGAAAAGAAAAGGCTGAAGTGAGGGCAGCAGGCGCGTATTGGGCCTCCAAAGGGATGGCTATTGGGTGAGCTCTGGTTCAGGCAGAAGCCTCACAGAGTTCCCATGGCGACGAAGGTGCAGGTGGCTGAGAAAGGGAAGGGGCATTACATCGGTGTGGGTGCAGAGACGCTGCCGCGTGGGGCTGGGTCTGAGGCGGTGGTCATTCTGGGTGGCCATGTCCAGCTGGTCACCTTGTAACCCGTGGTCACTGGTGTCAATCCACACCACCAGGACCCTCACTCTGGGACGCGGTAGAGAAGGAGACTTCCTTCAGGGAAAACAGCTCCATGGTGACAGCGGGGCTGTGAGGACAGTGACTCGGGGCAGCCCTAGGCCAGCCCTCTGGCTCAGCAGCTCTGCTCTGCCCCCTGAGCCGTCCTGGCTCAGCCAGGGAGCCGCTGGTCAGTGCGGCTGGAAAGGGCAAGGGCTCCCAGAGCCAGAGGGGGAGTGATTTCTGTGGAAAGAACCCCCACCCCTGGCCCCCAATTGGTTTGTTCTCATGCAAATGAGGGCTCCAAATCCTCAAAGTGTGATTGGTCCAAAAGGAACTGCCCTGATTGGTCAGAATAGAGCCACACAGGTTGGTCAGAGCTGCTCAGCTCTGATTGGATGGGGAGAGCCTTAGTCCTATTGGTTGAAATCGGACTCCAGGAAGTGCTTTATAAGGGCTTGCTCAGCTGCAGGGCCCAGGGCAGGCTGCTCCCTAAAGGGCAGGTCACATGTGAGGCCCCAGGCTCTGCTGCTGTATTTGAGCACTGTTAGCCGCCAGGGCCCCTTCTTTCTCGGGGTGTTGTCTTTGTCAGGGTCCACAGTCATCAGCCCTGAAGTCATCATGTCTACTTTCTTATCGCCTCTGCCAAGTTCTCTGGGTTGCAGGCCAGTGCAGAGGTCACGTCACCTGGTGTGCCATCCAGAGGTTTGGGGCACTCCCTCCGGCGGCGGCTCTGCTCATCTTAAAGCTGCTCTGTGTGTGCAGCTGCTGAGACGTGCCTGCGGCTGGGACTGCAAAGGCTGTGGCGGGCAGTAGCAGGCTGGGGCCCCAGGGCAAAGCTGGCTGCCAGGCGCTCTGTTGTGCTGCGTGAGATAGTTCTGCTCTTTGTTTTCTTTTTGAAATGATTGAAAAACAGTCACAGGCACAGCAAGGCTTTGTACCAGAATCATGTCCACCCGAATGTCAGAGTGAGTGCTGTGGGCCCGGCCACACCTGCCCCTGTGGCACCTGCCTCTCCAGGCAGCTGCTCCTGCAATAGCAGAGCTGGGTCCCCAAAGGGACCGTGTGGCCCCAAGATCTGAAGTCGTTAATATCCGTACCTTTACCCAGAAAGTTCCGGCACCACTGCTGTGGAATCAACTGAAGCACACGTCCCTCGAACAACCCGAGGGAAGAAACATTTCCCCGGAAGGAGGCTCGGAGGCACGGCCTCAGGTTTCCACCCGGCAGGGAAGGGGGACAGGGAGAGCCCACAGGGACCGGCCCCCGGACACCTCCGTCCCCGGTGCTCAGGGAGCACATTAGGAGGCCCAGACCTCAGGACATGGGAGGCCTGGGTTACACAGCTCCGCCTGTGAGGACAGGAGCAGACCCCACACCCGTCCCTGAGTTCCCAGCCTGGGCCACACCCGCCCACGGGTCCTCATTGTGGTGTGGACAGTGTACCCAGCAGTCTGGTCTGATCACAGACGTGGCACCATGATGCCAGGGTTTGAATCCTGACTCCCATCATCAGATGCTTGATCTTAAACACCAATCAACAAAAATGGCTGTGCCTCAGTTTCCCCATGTGCAATATGAGCATGATAGTGACCGCTCAGGAGGGTTGTTGTGAGGATGTGGCTCCTGTGCTCAGGGCAGTGCCCATCCCAAGCATTCAGTAGACACTAATTGGCCAATGATGACCGTCCTAAGCCCAGAGGAACACTCGGTGTGTCTTGCTTTAAAAAGCTAAATATTTGCCCGGCCGGCGTGGCTCAGTGGTTGAGTGTTGAGCTATAAACCAGGAGGTTCGATTCCTGGTCAAGGCACATGCTGGATCCCCAGTGGATCCCACAGGAGGCAGCCAACCCATGACTCTCATCATTGAAGTTTCTCTCTCTCTCCCTGTCCCTTCCTCTCTGAAATCAATTTTTAGAAGCCCAATATGTTTCTAAATGACATTTGTAAGAATGTTTATTCTTACTCCTCCAGGGGAGTGGAAGATAGTTGTTAGTCTCCTGAACATTGTACAAATTAAGGAAATTCTCCCTTTTCAACTTTTCAGAAAACTAACTTGCCTGGAAGCAGGCTGAACTCCCGGCCGGTCGCCTTGGAGACGCAGTGTTTCTCCTGGGCCGGCCGTCCCCCCTCCCCATCCCCGGCCTCACCCTGGGCGGTAAGTTACCTTCCCGTGGCCCTTCCCGCCGGTGCGGGTTGTTCCCTTTTGAAGCCGCGTGGAGCACGGGGAGGCCCCGGTGTAATCGCTCTGGAATTAAACGTTGATGGCTCTTTAAAGGCCATTCAGAAAAATTGCGTTGGTTCGGTCACTGTGGCCAAGACATGGACCTTCTGCCCTAAACCCTCATCCTAGGGCTGTTGAGTTCTGTGTCCACGTCAGCTTCGGGCTGTGGTTCGGGCCGCTGGCTTTCCCTGTGGCCACACTCACGCTGTCTGAGCCCAGCAGCCAGAGCCCGTCTCATTCAGACGAAGCGGCAAACCAGGGGCACTGAGGGCCCTGATGTTTTCAAAGCCCCTGAGCTTGAGCATCAGCTACCGCCAGCTCCTCAGGCCTGTCTCTACGGCGACAGGGAACACGCTCAGCTCGTGTGTGAATGACTTGGCAGGGTCACTCATAGACCCACACTCCACTCCGCCCGCCTCCCCAGCCCCGGGCTCCTCACCTGGGCCAGGCCGAGCCCCACACCAGAGCTTCTGGCCTGGGACAGCGGCAGAGTCTCCCCAAACCACAGGAACCAACCTGTGGCCATTTAGACAATGGTCTTTGTCACCCACCATCCAGACCATGTGCCCTCTGCAAAGGGGGGGCTATTGAAGAACTCACAGCTTTCTGTATTGCCAGTAGAGGCTGCATAAAGCTTAAAGGATTAATATGGAGGATCAGAGAGTGTGAGTGGCAGCGGGATAAGTGTGCTGCATGGCAAGTGAAATATTTGTTTTAAAAGATATTGTTATTGATTTCAGAGAGGAAGGGAGAGGAAGAGAGAGAAACATCTATGGTGAGAGAGAATCATCAATCAGCTGCCTCCTGCATACCCCCTACTGGGGATGGAGCCCACAACCCGGGCATGTGCCCTGACGGAGACTAGAACCATGACCTCCTGGTTCATAGGTCGATGCTCAGCCCCTGAGCTGTGCCTGCTGGGCAACAAGGGAAAACATTTTGAATTCCCTTTCGGCTATGCACTGCGGCGTCCTGGGATTTTACAAGTAGGCTGAGATTGTTTTCTAAAGTTCTCAACTCCCTCATCAAGCTGTCTGCAGGTTCTCAATTCCTGTACTCACCAAACCTACAACATAAAAATAGGATGAACTTTTGCCTGCAAAATAGAATTGGTATTTCATTAGCTATTAATATTCATATTGCTTAGCACTGGATTTAGAGAAAAAATGCCTTTTCTTATCATGGGTTTTGTCATGGAAAGTGCTTGCTGGTGTTATATTGGCAGGTGGATGAAAAATTTTCCCTAGACAGAAAATCTCTGCAATACATATTTATCTATTTGATTTTCCTAGCAGAGAGCAGCATCACCCCCCACACCTCAAATTTCTATTTTAGCTGCAGGAGCTTTGTTCTGCCATCAGCTATTTATTTCTGAGCATGTCTAACCTCAGAGGAATACATACCACCGACAAGACGCACTCTGATAGCGGGCAGCAGTAATGGGAGGAAGTGAACTATTTATATCCCTCAGAACACAGGCTGTGAGCCTGCGGGCTGCAGCTATCCGCTCTGGGCGCCTGCGGCCAATGCTCTGGTTCCGGGCGAAGCCTGGAAAGACATCCTTCCTGCTTCTCAGTGTGTGTGTGTGTTTATGTCGATCAGCCAGAGGGCTCCAGCTCTTCCCCAGGCTGATGCCCGGGGCAGTTGCAGCAGAGAGTCCCCCGAGACAAGCTAATAGCTGCTCACCGCAGTTGTGCGTGTCTAATGGAATTGTTAAGCACGAATAAATACTTCCTCTAAATATTAAGTTTGTTTATATTGTGCAGAACAATAAACTATAATCAAAATGCAAAAGAAAAAGTCACGTTC